GCGCCGCCGCCGCCACCGCCGACACCCCGGCCCCGGCCCCGGCCGCCGCCATCTTGTCCTGGGCGGTGCGAGGGGCGCGGCCTCCCCTCCCCTCCGCCTCCGCTCACGGAACCGGGAACAAGGAGTTAGCTTCAGCCTCATGTTGGTGCAGAGATGCATCCAGTGTCCTCAAGACCATTAGGCTGGTTAACTAGCCTTAAACTGGACCTAGAGTTGTCGGTCCCAGCCGGCCGCCGGCAGGAAAACGAGGTGCCGCTCGCCCGCGGGGGGGGGGCGGCACCTCGCTCGCTCGCTCGCTCGCCTGCCCGCATCCCGGCGGCTGAGGGACGAGCATCCTTCGCCGCCTCCTCGCCTTTAACAGCTGACAAGGTTCTTTGGGTAAACGCCATCTCTTTTATTAGGCCAACGAAATAGTTTAAAAGCTGCTTTTCTGAGTGTCACGGGAGGGAGGGGATGGAACTAGGATTCGGGTATCTCGCTTTTACAGCGAGCAAATCCACTCATGGGTGGCACCAAAAGAATCATCGTGCTGACTTGTATTAAAATCCTAAATTTGTTGCTGTGTGTAGTGGTGTGACCCTAACAGGCAAGGGCCTCGTTTGTGAGGAGGGAGGAACAAGGCAAAGAACACACGGATTGGGGTCTATCGCACTGATTAATCCCCTTTACTGAGACCTTCCTTATGGTTAACTCATTAACAAACCAAATCTGAATCCCTTCCATGGCATCAAACATGGCGCAAGGCACAAACCAGGTTCTGCCATCCCTGCATAACCTGGGCCACTGGTTACATGCCCTCTCCACTAATAAGGCCCATGAGTGCTCTTTGCCTCCTTGGCATCATGTCTGTGCTGTCGCATCACCTGCTTCCTCACCCCTCTGCCTTCGGGGCATTCTCCATGTCAAATCCATTGTTCACTCAAACTTCCCCTTTACTCCATCACTTCAGTTTCCATTTACCAGTCACCTCTACATTACCCCTTATCTGTTCTCCTTCTTTGGGCACTCTCCACAGCCTCCTCACCATCTCTGGTTTCCACACGCTGTTCTCCAAATCTTTCCAGCACCTCCGTTCCAACACTTCTGCTTCAATCTGCCATTTCCTTTCAAACTGGTTCTCCCATCATGCCCTCCCTGGCCGCAGTACTCACATTTCCCTGAATTGCCTGATACGTCTCCCCAAGACATCCCCTCACTCAGCGCATCCAGACATGTGTGGACGTTTGGTTCCCCAAGACAAGTAGTATAACAAAACCCCCCAGGTTTTTTTGTTTGTTTGTTAAATGCAGTCCCTCCCCTTTCCCCAACTGTTTCTGAGTTTCTCTCTCCCCCTCTCTATTCCCTATAGATAAGTATAAATGAGCTCACACTTAGGATAAGTTTAAACATTTTTTTCCCGGTAGCAAGTTTTTGGTTTTACATATCCACTGTTTTATATTGTATTATTATTAGGTTTGTATTGATTTTTACTGTTGTATATTGTATTATCATTTTTGTATTGATTTTTATTGTTTCATATGGCTATTGTATGGTCTAGGCCTGTGTTTGTAAGTGAACCAAAGTCATGTCAAGTTTCCATTTTATATGTCAAGCCTCCATCTTCTGTCCTCTGCCCGGGCATCCCATGTTGCAACAATATGATTCAGTGTACCCCTCCCATGTAAATTGGTTCCCTGATGAATGAGAATGATTGAAATACAATGGTAGTAGGCCTCTACTGAATGTCCTGTAATGACTGGGCCATCACCTCGCATTTCATAGTAGCTAGAGTCAGGAGAGACCTGAACAGACCATCTAGCCTGACACCCTGCCACAGGCAGGAATGAATGCTGGGTTCACAAGACGCCAGACAGGTGATCATCTGACCTCCTCTTGAATTTGCCCAAGGTAGGGGGACGAGGACCACTTCCCTGGGAAGTTGGTTCCAGATTTTGGCCACCCTAACTGTAAAAATATTGCCTTCTGATCTATAACCTAAACCTATTCTCCATCAGCTTATGATCATTGTTCCTTGTCACCCCAGGTGGTGCTGGGGAGAAAAGGGCTCTGCCTATTTGCTGTTGATCTCCCCTGATGAGCTTGTAGGCAGCCACCAGGTCTCCCCTCACCCTCCTCTTGCTGAGGCTGAACAGGTTCAGGTCCCTCAGTCTCTCCTCGTAGGGCCGGTCCTGCTGCCTTCTCACCAAGTGGGTGGCCCTCCTCTGAACCCTCTCAGCTGGCCACATCCCTTTTGAAGTGTGGCGCCCAGTACTGGATGCAGTACTCCAACTGTGGCCTGACCAAAGTCGCATAGAGGGGGAGTATCACCTCTCTGGACCGGCTTGAGATGCACCTTTGGTTGCATGACAAGGTATAGCTGGCCTTGTTGGCTGCAGTCTGGCATTGGCGGCTCACGTTCATCTTGGAGTCAATAATGACTCCAAGATCCCTTTCCGCCTCTGTGCTTTCAAGAAGGAAACTCCCCAGCCTGTA